GAGTCCGCGTCCCGGGCCCGGGCGGCCGGCGAGCATGGAGGAGAAGTACCTGCCGGAGCTGATGGCCGAGAAGGACTCCCTGGACCCCTCGTTCACGCACGCCCTGCGCTTGGTGAACCAAGGTGAGGCCGCGCCGCCGGCCCTTAACTGTCGCGGGGGCCCTTGGGGGCCCTTGGGGGCCGGGAGTGGCGACCAGGGACTCCGGGACAGGGGAGGGTCGGGACTGAGTAGGAATGGGGGGGGGCTTGGGGAGCTGGCTGGAAATAGACCTCTGGAGGGGCCCAGGAGCAACCTGGGGGCATTTGGGTGGGGACCTGGGAGGATGTGGGACACCTGGGGAAGCCCCAGAGGCGGATTTGGGAGACTTGGGAAGGAAGGAGAAGGCTGGGCATTAGGGTGAGACTTGAAGGCGATCCTTGGGGACTCTGAGTATACCCAAGGGAAACTTAGGGGTGGGGGACAGGGCACATCTGGGGGGCTTTGTTGGGCGGGGGTTGGATTATTTCATTGGAGAGGAGAGTGTGGGGGGCTTGGGGAGCTAGTGTGTTTGGTTTGTCTAAGGAACTGAAGAAAGAGCTAGAAGAAGATGGAAAGATTTGAGGGGATCAGATGCAGAAGAGGTGAGGGGAACAGGTACTTGGATTGTTAGCGAAGTTAGAGGACCTTGGAGGGGTTTGGGGGCAGACCCCAAGCACCTTAGAGAAGGACCCAGCAGCCCTACTGGGAGAGCCCAGTTTCCTCTCCCATCCTTGTGTTTCTTCCAAGTCTCGGCTCTGGCAGCCCTGGGGTGGGGGGCAGTCTGCCCTCCCTGGGGGTGAGCAAGTCATGACGGGCCTTGAGGCTGGCCCTTGGAGGGGCGGGAGGGGAGGAGAGGCCAGCACAAGCGCCCCTCTCAGCTCGTCTGCCCTCATTTGGGGAATAGCTGGGCGACTCTTCCCGGTGGCTGGCTCAGGGTTCAGAGCGCTGGCCAAGGCGCCTTAGCTGCCCACGCCTTTTTAGCACAACTCTAGCTAGCTCAGGGCGTGAGCAGTCCTGGGAGGCACAGGATACCATGCAGGGGCAAGTGGAGGCGTGCCTACCCCGGACGGACGGCATTGCCCACCCCGGCTGGCATTGTCTACCCCGGACGGCATTGCCAACCCCGGACGGACGGCATTGCCCACCCCGGCCGGCATTGCCTACCCAGGACAGCAGTGTCTGGCTTCTCCCTCCTCCAGCTTCCCGAGGAACCTTCTGGGATGGAAGGTAAATGAAGCCTTCCTTCACGGAGCAGTTCTCTCCTCCTGGGTCTGCGTTTCCTCGGGGCGACGGCAGAAGCATTGTCTGGTCAGATCTGTTACCTTTTGCGAGGATCAGGGTGCAGTGAGTCCGTAGTTCCTGCGATAAATCCAGTCTGCTGGTCTCACTGCTGCTCAGGCTCTTTCATTGTTGAAAGTGAAAGATGAGGCGGACATATTCTATTTGTATATAGATATCTGTATTTTAAAACAGTGACCTCCGGTGTTTGCCTAATGCAACCAGATTTTTAGAGTGGCGTGTGTGTCGACTGATGGTGGCTGAGAGACTCACTGTCTCCACGGATTTAAGCAGATTTGGATTGTTGAACAGGAATCGGTTTACAGAGTTTTCCCTTGTTATTTTAATTTCAGGCTGATTTTAATTTCTTTAGTAAAATGGGCTTGTGGAAAAGTCATAGACTTGCATTCTTAAATGAGGGGAAAGGAATTTAAGTTTGATTCCCTTGCTCTCCCGAGCAGTTAGCTCTGCGGTGAGGTTCCTGCTCCCTGCTTTTTATGGTTTACATACGTCTTCTGGTGCCGGCGGGGCCGTCATCTGTGAAAGAAATGTCATTGTACATTGTGTGGGATCAGTGGTGTTAGAAGTGTCTGGCCTGTGGAATGAGTCGAGTTTTTCTGAATAGAGGAGCTGAATCAAAGTTATGTTGTACTCAGCCAAAGAAGCAGTTTAAAAGTTTAATGAGTTCTTTAAAAGTCAGAATTATTTTCTCTGTGCCATGTTGCCATAGTGCTGTGTTGCTAATACATTCAAAGTTCTTTTGGTTTCTATGCTTTTACTAGAGCTAATGGCTTCCAGTTATTCGAAACAGATACTGGACAATGTTGCCATTTGGGGTCTTTTTTGTTAAATGTTACACCTGATTACCTTTTCCATTAGAAATGTAATTCTTGTTAGAAGTACATTTACCACACTGAACAGTTATGTGAAGGAAGAAAAGAGCTGCTCATATGTGCTTATTACTGTTAATTTAGGTTACTTCAGACTAAAAGGTTTTTCCCTTAAATCATAGGTTGATATCCCAAATGCAGAGGCCTGCCATTTAAAATATTAATTATGCTGTTACGTAACTCCTGAATTAAAAGTGCATTTCCAAAAATGTCTTAAATCTGAACTTGAATGGTTGTTAGGAAGCTTCAATTTTAAATCGGATGACCACCTTGTTATTGCCTAGAGGGGAGCAGCTTATCCTTACTTAGCTGTTTTTGACTATTTGCCTCTAAAGGAAACTATTTTTTCCGAGGTTATTCTGAATCCTGAAAGCAGGATGAGGATTCCGGCACTAACTTGTGTGGAGGTGATGGGCCTGCGATGCAATTCTGCATCTTACTGTGGAGTGGCATGGAGTAGGCACATTGATGGTTAACGTGCACATGCTGACACCACCGCAGGTTTGCGTGGCCCTTTAACATTTCCAGGGCTCTCGGAGGCACACGCTGTGGGTTCCGTTCTCACACTTGCACCCTTCGGAGGCTGACATTGATGTCTCCATTTCCAGGGGAGGGAGCCGAGGGCCCTGCTCCGCAAGCTTGTAGGCAACTGGGAGAGATTTAATTTGAACTCAGGTGTCCGTCTCTTAAGGCCACTGTTCTTGCTGCACATGCCTCCCCAAAAAGATGGAACAAAACACTTTGCCCCTGTTAATTTAAAACGCTGCAGAAATCAATATAGCTCACACACTTGCTTCCAGTTGACTTATCTTGATTTTCCAAAAAAAGTTTCTTTCCGTATTTGTCTAGTGGTCTTTGGAGAAGCAAACATTCACTGCAGGTTTATCCCTGAGGAGTTTAAGGCTCAGCCCAGAGGCACTTTTGAATTGAAGCCCTCCCGTGACCACTCTGTCACTTCAGTAACCAACCCATTGTGATAATGGAACAGTTTGTAAATGAGGTGCTGTCACTTTAAAGAAATTAAGGTTTTGTTAACATTGATCAACTTTTTAGCCGAATTGCTTTTTTTCTAATAATCTTTAAGTAAAAACTTGAGCTGGGAGGACACCAAGATAGAGGCCCTGCGCTAACATAGGTCGGCTTTCACGCTTCTCCAGGCTTATGTTCTATGATGGGCCTTAGTTGCTGACTTTTATTTTTATTTTCTCAGGATAACTGGTTCTCCTTCCCCTCACCCCCTAAATATTGAATACTTTTGTTCCTTTACCAAAAGAAACGGGGACTGTTTACTTGATGTAAAACCAAGTAAAAGAAAGTCGGCTTGCCACCCCTTCCCCCATACACACAAGGGCTATAGGGTGAGTCGATGTTGCAGTTTCTTGCCAGGGAGGCTAATTGGAGATGAAAGTACCTGCTCCACGTTTCGTATTGTATTTGCAGGTGGGGGATGTGCTGACTCCTACACAAACCATCTTCAGAAATGTCTGCGCATTATAATTTAATCCGGTGCTTTAGATCGTTTTCAATACAAGCCAAGTAACCATTAAATAAGATTGCATAACCCTGTATTTTTAATTATCTGATATAATGTATGGATTGGTGGCTGGTTCACCGCCAGGTTATATATCGTGGTCGGTGACAAGAGGAAGTGGAGCAGAGGAGTCACGATGAAGGTGGTCTGTTTGTGTCCAGATGGATAGAGTTCTTGGTCGGTTATTTAAAATAAATATTCAGATCACATCAACTTGCCTAATATTAGGACTCGGTGTGATGCAGGATCTATGTGAGGGGATCCCTGTTCAGCAAAGCCCAGCAGTTACGTTTCAGTCTTGAGGACCCCTTTTGGAAACTGTTTTTAATTTGCTTGAATGTCGTCAGATGTGTAAAGTATGCAAGACAAACGAGAATGAAAACTGCAGAATTATATTTAGGTGGGGCGCTTTCATACGGTAGTGTGAGAGCTGCATCGGGGGAGGACATGGTGATTTTGTTTTTAATTGTATTTGTTAGGGTTTTCTGTTTTTGTTTTCCGAGAAACCACTTCTGAATTTTCTTTAGCAATTCGGAGTGGGCCAGCGATGGTGAGTCCCAGCGTCTCGGTGTCTGGACGTTAGGTTTGGAGACCCGGCCCGCTGGCCCGGAGGCGGGGCAGTCCCGGCGTCCGCCCTGGAGAAGGCGGCGCTCCCCAGCGTGCTTGAGAGTGAGCTTTCAGTTTGTAGACGCCCTTGACCTGCCGAAGGACTGTCTCCCTAGTCATGCAGCTATCTTTTTGAAATACTGAGTGACTCGGAACATTTTCGAGCCACTTCTCGGTGCCTGGTCACGTCTGTAACGTCAGCACCGGTCACAGCCCAGAAATGTCGAGGTTGTTAACCCCGTTTTTAGTTGTAGAAACCGAGACGCCAAGAACTGAAGCGACCTACCCGAGGTGACATTCTCACTTTATAAAGTGTTCGAGCGAAGGTTCAGGCTTTGCTCTCCAAGCCCATTGCTCGTTCCTCACACCGTGCTGACCCTCGGAGGTGTCCAGGTCACACTGAGGGGACAGCTAGCTGATGACAGGAGGAGGTGACACCCTGGCCTCTCACGTGCTGTGTGTTCTTTTCTCTCCAGCCTGTGCTGGACTTGAAAGATGAATTACACAGCGTCGTCTTTACACTTAATCCTTCAAGTTTCCACCCTAAGGTGTCTCCTCCCACCGCTTCCCGCCCCCCGGTGGGTCCGATGGCCCATTTGGTCTCCCCTAGCGGCCAGCGCTTCACTCCGACCGTGTGGCGCCCCTTCCTCTGTTCCTGGCGTGACCGTGTGGCGCCCCTTCCTCTGTTCCTGGCGTGACCGTGTGGCGCTCCTTGCTCTGTTCCTGGCGTGACCGTGTGGCGCTCCTTCCTCTGCTCCTGGCGTGACCGTGTGGCGCCCCTTCCTCTGCTCCTGGCATC